AAAGAAATTTTGTTCTCAGATGTTACTTGCTTCTGGCAAAATTAATCTGGTATAATCAGATTCATTGGCGAGTTTTCATATAACTGATTGTATTTTCATATGACGTTTATCTAATTAGCCAATAAAAATTCAAGGATCGACAACCAATCAGATGGATATTTAATCATGCTTAGTCCAACACGTTATTTAATTAAAAAAATTCTTAATCACATGATTAATTTATTCGAGTTTTACAATGTGATTGGTCGATTGTTTATACTAGTAAAAGAAAATAAATGACAAAGAAAATATAGGTGCAGACATTCGGGACGTCCATAGGTTACTTAATGTTCTAATATGTTATATGCGGCACTAGTAAAAATCTATTAAATGCACGTACGTACGTACATATTTATACGTAAAAAGACGAGAGAAATAATTTATTCTATATACGTATATATTTTAAAACAATATTATCTGTTATTATTATGTACGTACGTGATAATTCGGTTTGAGTCAGAATCGATTTTCAAGTTTTGCCCGCAGCATGATTTTTATATAAGGTAAAATTTGTGGCGAACTCGAGTTTTTAAGGCATCGTTCATGAAAATTGCTCTTGAAACGTATACCTTATGCAGATCATTTACACTTAATATAGAACTTCGACAGTCGCAAAGGTATAGTACGTGGCGTGAATTATCTCCGAAACTTTCAACAAACATTAAATACGCTAAGAACGCAAGCATGGCAAACAAAAAACAGCCAGAATGGCATGCTCCAGTCGCTACTGAATCTCTACCTACTCTGAAAATTTACAACTCCCTTACAAGGACAAAGGTAATTAGCCGTGCATTTTGTCCGTTACATCACTTTTCATAATAATTTATTCTACATTTTTGAATAAAGGTTGATTTCATTCCGAAGAGAGAAAAACAGATCAGTTGGTACAATTGTGGTCCTACTGTTTATGACGCGGCACATCTTGGACATGCCAGGTGAATGTGAAATTAAATATTGAATATGGCTAGTACTTTAAAAGTTATTGTTTCTCAAAAGCTTACTCTTTTTTTTACACACTCTATGCAGACTTTATGTTACGATTGATATTATTCGCCGTATATTAACGGATTATTTCAATTATGACATTTTATTTGTTATGAATATAACCGATATTGATGATAAAGTATTGTAATTTTAGGGTTTTTTATATTCTCAATTAATACTTCGCACAATATTTTTAAACAACTTTACGATCAAATGTATAATAGATTATACTCCGTGGCCGTAAACATCACCTTTTCAATAACTTTAAATCTGAAACAAAATCACTTACGCCAACATTGATTGAACAAATCCGTAGCGCTTTGAACGATTTTGCTAAATCGAAACTTGGTACGGGTGATGGTCTTGAGGGCAGTGCATCTCGAGGTGATCCAAAATATCTTTTATATGCTAACTCATTCGTAAGCTGCATTCATTATTTGGTCATTTATGTTTTCAAGCCACCTGCTGTGTAACAATTTACGTATTGCATATGTTTATTACCTTTGTCAGAGAGAAACCGTCAAAGCTGTGGCAGCAGCTGAAATAGCACTCGAAGATAACGATACCAGCGAAGAAACTGCCCATCAACTTCTAAAGGAGTCTCAAGAAATTGTTTCAGAATGGTTGGATCAAAAGGTAGGTGATTTATCGTTCAATGAATTAGAGTGCAATTTGCTAAAATGTACTCGCTATTGAACGTCAATAGGATGGTGCATCCATTACAGACCAAAAAGTTTTTCGTGATTTGGCTGCTTACTGGGAACAAGAATTTATGGAAGATATGCAAACCTTAAACGTGAGAATATAACAAAATTTCTTGTTATTAGTATCATTAGCATTGTCATTTAATACCATATAATTTCATTAGGTTCGTCCATGCGATATTCTGACACGCGTCAGTGAATATGTTCCCGAAATTGTCGTATATATTCAAAAAATAATTGACAATGGTTTTGCTTATGAGGTTGATGGTTCCGTATATTTTGATACCGTTACATTTAATAATAAAGAGGGCCATAATTATGCAAAGTTGGAACCTTGGTCAGCCAATAATGAAGGACTCATTGAAGAGGGAGAAGGCAGTCTTGGAAGTAAATTATTAGGGAAACGAAACAAGGGTGATTTTGCTTTATGGAAAAAGAGTAAAGCTGGTGAACCATCTTGGGATTCACCTTGGGGATTTGTAAGTGTATTTTCGATCGTGTTTAAGTAATCTATCGTATATCTCGTACAATAAAATGATACACTTTACTTATATAGGGACGTCCAGGATGGCATATTGAATGCTCAGCAATGGCTAGGTATAGTATTTTGTACTCTTACATATGCATATATATCGTCACCATTTGAATATTATGTGACTTATTTTTATAGCGAAATTTTTGGTGACTATCTTGACATTCATTCTGGTGGCATTGATTTGGCATTCCCGCATCATGATAATGAATTAGCTCAATCTGAGGTATTGGTCGCTAATATATTATTTATTGTGGTAGCTTATGCTGAAATTTTTCCGTATTTTATTATAAAATTATAAAAATTTTGGGGGCCTTTTTTGTGGTCTTTTTTTTCATGTTTAGGTTAGGGTTTTAGGTGATGTTATTAATAAAAGAGTATATGTGGATTTTTAGCAGATATTATAGATTTAAATAGAGACCTCAAATTTCAGCATAAGTCGCCACATTTATTAAGGCTTAATAACTAAAGATGACTGATTTTCAACAGGCGTATCATGAATGTCAACAATGGGTAAATTATTTTGTGCATGTCGGACATTTAAATATTGAGGGTCAAAAGATGAGCAAATCGTTGAAAAATTTTATTACTATTCGAGTAAATATCATTTGACATCGATTCATTCGATTTTGCTATTAATTCTGTTTCACAGTTAATTAAGTAATTTATATCTGAATATATTTATATAGCAAGCTTTAGAAAAACATACTGCACGACAATTGCGGTTATGCTTCCTTCTTCATCAATGGGATTCAAAGCTAGATTTCAAAGAAAGTACTATGGGGGAGGCGAAGGGTATTGAAACTATTTTAAACGTATGCACATTTTCTTCTTTTTAATTATCATGCGTGTCCCATAAATTTCATTCTAATCGACATCCTTATTAGAATTTCTTTGTTAACACAAAAGCACTATTGAATGAATTCAAACAAGCTGCATACGAATCCGATGGTACACATCGGTATTCTGCTTCTGAAAGAGAGCTAATGAACCTGTAAGTAAGCAATTTGTGTAATCTTCTGATTAGTTAATTGTACTAACTATTCGTTCTTACAGATTTCGTGAAAAACAATCAGCCGTTCACTCGGCACTTTGCGATTCCTTTAATACACCAACTGCAATGAGCGAAATAATGGAACTCATTAACAAAACTAACATTTATGTATCTGCTGGAAGAAATAACATTAGCATATTCGTACTCGAAAATATAGCGAAATACGTAACAAAGATGTTAAAAATCTTTGGTATTATTGGAAATACATCATCCGAAGATATTGGCTTCGGTGAATCAGAACAAAGTGTTATAAACGTATGCACTTTTATGCTTTATTATCGTTTGTGACACAAAGCATAAAATTCATTGTAATCTATTTACTAATTTCGAAAAGCGAGAAGAAGCTGTGCTTCCATACCTTCGTGTTCTATCGAGTTTTCGCGATAATGTCCGAGAACTTGCACGCCAACAGAAAGGTCATGGAGAATTTTTAGCCTTAAGCGATAAGCTAAGAGACATTGATTTGGTAAATCTTGGAGTGTCGTTAGATGATCAAGAAGATGGAAAGGCTTTGATTAAATTCGTGGACAGAGATGTACTTATCAAAGCAAGAGAAGCAAAATTACAACTCCAAGCAGAAAAGGCCGCAAAAAAAGAGGCTGCCGCAAAAGCTAGAGAGGAGGAAAGAAAAAGAAAATTGGAACAGGGCAAACTCGCAGCTGAAGACATGTTTAAAGAGGAAAGGGATGAAGATGGAAAAAATCTTTATTCTGCATTCGATAAACAAGTATGTTTCAGCTAAATTAGTAGTTAGCTCATGTGAAATATAAAAACAATAACATTGATTGTCTGCTTTTAGGGAATTCCGACACATGATAGTAATGGAGAAGAACTGTCGAAAAGTAAAATTAAAAAACTGAAGCAAAAATGGGATATTCAAAAGAAGTTAAATGATGAATATTTGGCTACTATTTCCAATTCCGATAATTAATATAGAACATTTTATTCAGTTCTGGCAGAAAAATTTTCATTATTTGCTATTAATAAAACTTTTTATAAAAAAACTTTAAATAAAAACGTTATATAGATTTTTAAACCGGTTTTACTCGATCATATCATTGGTGTTTAACACTACAATGATTTTTTTACCAATTAATGTAAAAATTAGGTGCTATTATATATTGTATTAAATTTTTACTATGTTCAACTACTAGCTTCTCTCTGTTTTTCAAGTAGATTTTAAGTTATTTTAAAACTATGTAATATCCCATTTTGGTTGATCTTTAGTATAGGTGGGCATATATAATTATTATACAATTATAATATATATAAATTAACTATTTTGAACTAATTTAAGTAATTTTATAAATTATTAGAGTTAGAGTTAAGGTTAGAACTTAAATTAGCTCAAATTTGTTAGATTTTATATACAGTATTATAATTTTGTAATAATTTATATATGCCAACCTATATTAAAGAAGATCCTTAAAAAAACTAAATCAATATTATATAGTTATAAATAATAGTTATCTAAAGCCAGGCATTTAATTTTAATCAAAGAGAAACTGAAACTATCTAAAAAAAAAGTGTGATAGAAATTAAATAATATAATAAATAGTAATATTTGAAATCAAAAGCTTAATTTCAAGTAAAAAAAAAATAAAAAGAACAAAATTAAAAAATAATTATTAAAGATTAATAATTGTCATGGATTATAATTTAAAATGAAATCCACATTTTCTACTTAATCTGTTAACCTTCTAAAACTCTCTTATACTTGTTTATTATAACTTTACTTTAAAACTAACTCCTAACTCTAACCTCTATCTCTAAAAAATGCACTCCAAAAAATTGTATTTTTCAAGATTTTATATTATAATTTTATTTTGATCTAGATTTCATTATGATCTGTTACAATAATTATTATTTATAATATAATATTTGTCAATTGAGAGGTGTGGCAATATAGTAAAGTAGTTAAATTATCACCCCAAGTGGTAGGTCAAGAGTTTGAATTCCACTGGTAATGAAAATTCAAAA